AGCACAATTAAGTGCACTCAGCATGCCATTGATAATTGGAGGAATTAATTCCAAAAGGCAACTGACTGTGTAAAGCCACAAAAAACAAATCAAAAATATGTTGAATATGCCGAGTTCAGCAGCTAATCAGCCGGAATCAGCTGAGGTGATGAGACGGCCAGCGGCGAGACCAAGCTGCTACTTAAGTGGCCACGCCCTTAATTATGCAGACTTAATATAACTTAATATAAACAAAACGCATGAGTTCTAAAAAAATTCACCCTCCTCACAGTTGTCATGAAGGGTATTATTAGCTATATGCACCAAAACCATCTTTTGCTGTAAACATGTTTTTATCAGCTGTAAATATGGCCAATTTAGCATTGCAGTCAGAGAACATCTGGAGTTCCTGCAGCCAGCCCCCGAAGGCGAATCAATGAATTACAGTTCCAGTTACTTCTGTATTGGCTTCACGAGGAAGAGCGGGAGGTTGCCGCTTGGTATAGTCTTGGCCTCAGATGTCATGCTAAGCCCCGCCTGGTGCGTACTGCACACTTTACTGGAAACACTTGAGCAGATCCTCAGTCGGGTTGGAGCAAAACTGTGCAGAGATGCGGCCCTCCAGGAATCCAGTTTGGCACCTATGCTTTTAAGGAAGAGTAAATGTATCCCTTCAAGACTTCTCTTTAATCCTCAATGTTGGTGATTGTGAGCAGCTTTTAGCTAAGCTTAACTTATAAATCAACAGCACAAGACTTTTTTTGAGGCACAAACTGAAGTATATTTTCCATTAATACTAAGTAACCATGAGCGGCAAGGTGGCTTAGTGGTTATGACTGTCGCCTCACAGAAGAAGGTCGCTGGTTTGAGTCCTGGCTGGTCCAGTTGGCATTTCTGTGTGGAGTTTGCATGCTCTTATTTCCTCCAGGTGCTCCGGTTCCCCCCACAGTCCAAACACATGCACTATAGCTGAATTGAATAAGCTAAATTGGCCGTACTGTGTGTGTGAGTGTATGGGTGTTTCCCAGTGATGGGTTGCAGCTGGAAGGGCATCCACTGTGTAAAACATATGCTGGAATAGTTGGCGGTTCATTCCTCTGTGGTGACCCCTTGATAAATAGAAACTAAGCCGAAAGAAATGAAGGAATGAGTAACCATTACTAATGACTAATGATGTGTTTTATTCCTCTTGCAGTGAACGCTGTGATAAGAAAGGACCTCGTGCATAAAACTAATCTCTGATGTCTGAAGACAGATTTGACGTCCTGAAGATGATGTTACGGTACTGATATCTATTTAAATCTGCTTGTTTTTCATATCTATGATTTGTACACAATGATTCGAGCAAGATCACGTTTGACAATATCAGGGAGTTTTATTGTTTCTGTATATAAATATGTAATGATCAAATCATGGTTTTAATCAAAGATTGACCTGGTTTTATTTATCAGTGTGCAGTTTAAATCAAATGTTTAGCGCAATTTGCTTCGTTGAAAATGGTTTCAGTCATAAACTTATAAAATTTTCATGTACAAATTGAACAACTGATGAAAATTATAAAAAAATTTTTGTAATAACTGTTATGTATAAAGTGGTGATTTAACACTCAATGTAATGTTTAAAATGCAGACTAGTTTATTAAGAGTAAGCCGTTTATATGGATACATCTTAATAAAATGGGAATGGTTGGTGATATTAACGTCCTGTTTGCGGAACATTAGCATATGTGAGGGAGCAAACTTTTCAAGATGGGTGGTGACAATGGTGACCATTTTGAAGTCGGCCATCTTGGATCCAACTTTTGTTTTTTCAATAGGAAGAGGGTCATGTGACACATCAAACTTATCGGGAATTTCACAATAAAAACAATGGTGTGCTTGGTTTTAGGGTAACTTTATTCTTTCATGAGTTATTTACAAGTTTCTGATCACTTATAAAACGTGTTCAATGTGCTGCCCATTGTGTTGGATTGTCAATGCAACCCTCTTCTTCCACTCTTCACACACTGATGGCAACACCGCAGGAGAAATGCCAGCACAGGCTTCTAGTATCAGTAGTTTCAGGTGCTGCACATCTTGTATCTTCACAACATACACAATGGCCTTCAGATGAACCCATAGATAAAAGTCTAAGGGGTTCAGATCGGGAGACCTTGGGGGCCATTCAACTGGCCCACGACGACCAATCCACTTTTTTAGGAAACTGTTCATCTAGAAACGCTCGCTCATGACACGCATAATGTGGTGGTGCACCATTCTGCTGGAAAACTCAGGGATGTGCCAGCTTCAGTGCGTAAAGAAGGAAACACATCATCATGGAGCAATTTCAAATATCCAGTGGCCTCGAGGTTTCCATTGATGAAGAATGGCCCCACTATCAGTTATCTATGGCGTGAAGATACAAGATGTGCAGCACCTGAAACTACGGATACTAGAAGCCTGTGCTGGCATTTCTCCTGCGGTGTTGCTATCAGTGTGTGAAGAGTGGGGGAAGAGGGTTGCACTGACAATCCAACACAATG